AATACCATTTTTTTCTATGATTTTCAAAACATTTTAGTAATTTATTTTTAATATTCTTTCTTTTTAAGTAAAATGTAAAATACTGCTTATTATTCTTAAATTATATATTTTTAATCATCATGCAAAATTTGAAGGAGTTCGATGCAATATTTTTTAAGAAAAGTGTACCAAACTAGCACACTGTCATTGTCAAAGCTAAGAGAAATTAAACAAGTTGTTTTTAAAAACATTAAGCTTTAAATTTACATCTTATATGTTTTATATAATCTACAAGCTGTCTATTTTAAATGAAAAATATAATTTAGAGTGTACGTTTGAGAAAAGTTATACCGTAATAACCTTTGTCTCGAAATAGTTGCATTTCGCCAGTCGATATGTCACATGTCCCCTTAAGTCAGTTCTGCCTTCGCGGCAAGGCAAAAATATATAAAAACTCAAAATATCTTCTAGAAAAATATAAAACACCAAACACAGTTAAAACTTTTTTTTTCTTCTTACAATTAAAATTACAGTTTCTACGTAAAAACAAGTCATTCGGCCAGCAGGCAGATTTTTCGGTGCTCAAAATTAAAAATTTGATTTTGATCCAACTCGTCAAAAAGACTGTGAAGGTGCAGAAAGACGTCATGCAGTCAGTGTTCTTCGAAGTTTCAAGTGTAAACAAATATAGCTGCTATGGTAAGAAAAATTAGCTTAGCCTCACTTTAACACCTTTTAAATCGTTTATAATTCTACAACTATTGCATGCAGATTAACAAAAGTCATAAAAACCTTAACCGGAAGATAAGAACAACATAATTCAATCATTTTTAAAGCAAAAAATGTAAAATTTACCAAAATATAAGAATTAAAAAACTGAGCTCACTGAGCCGAGTAACAGAGTGGGTATATATATACACACATATTTATAATTATATATTTTTGGTGAGGCCGATTGCAACCTAAAAGAGAGGTGCACAACTACATGTCTTATCAGTTCGATATATAAAAATTTTAAAATTTCTACGATTTATCGGATGTTACAGTCAGAAAGAATCTATTTCCATTTTAATCTTTGGCAAACAAATCTGTCCGAACGCAGAGATATCACGCGAAAACATTGTTCAAATAGTTTCGAGAGCGGTTGAAATATGATACCCGAAATTTTTTGCGATTACAATACTTTCTTTACTTCGTACAAGGAAGTAAAAATTGCTGTAGATCACATTATTACATCTGACTTTTCTACCCCATCTCAAAATTGAGATGTAAAATATTTTAAATGTAATGTTACCAAAAAATGGTTTTTGGATAAATCAAATATTTACTAAAGCATAATTTGTGCAAATAAGGCAATATTCTGAAAAATAAAATATTCAGATTTAATAAATGAGATGGACAATTTTAACAACACATGAAATTAAATAACAACCTTTTGAGGATTTGTTTAGTCACTGAAAGTCTATTATTTGGCTATAAGACTATTAGTACAACTCTTATCTGGAGTAACTTTAAAATAATAGTTGGAAAAAAAAAAAAAAAAAAAAAAAAAACTGAAATATTGTGAGAATATTTTGCAGTAAAATGAAGCGAAAATACAGTAAAAAAAGTATAGTGAACGAATATTGAGGCGACCCAAAACCTACAGTGGCTCACAAAAATGATCGGACAGTTTGAATTTTTGCCTTCCTAATGAACATAAAAACTAAAATAAATAAAAACAAACAGGGAAGGCTTTTATTTTGATTATATGTAAATTCAACATTCTTTTTATAGCATTACTATTATTAGTACATTTTTTTTAATAAATGGATTTTAGAAAAGATGAAAATTAAATTATGAGGAAAAATATTCTCACAAAAATAATCCGGCACTTATACTAACAGACAAAAATGGCAAAAACTTATATTGTTTTTGCTCCTTTAATATCTTGTGGGATTCCTTTGACTCCAGAAGTTTTTTTTTTTTTTGTTATTTTTGGACTCATTTTATGCTACTCCTCTTGAATCACCGTTTTCAACTGCTGCCGCAAAGATACCCTCCGTTTTCGAATTTTTTTATTCTAGTTCCTGCTAAATACGTTCAATAGGATTACGATCTGGCGATTGGGGTGGTGCCTTAATTACTTCCGGACACATATTAACAGCCTCAGTCTAACATTGTACTCAGTATATTTTGGATCATTGCCGTGGTAGAAGTTTAAACTATTTTGTATATTAAGTTTTTATGTTGACGATGCCAAATTTCACTTTAAGATGTCAAGGTACTTATACTGATCCATAATATAATATATAGTGTATATTACGAACGCTGGAATATGTCATGGATCCCGATAACAAACAACGCATTTTCCCAGTAGTCGGATATCTTGTTTCATCAATTTTGCGAAAGCGAGTCGAAGTTTCCTTTTTTTACCGACATAAAATTTTCTTCTTATTAGTCGCCCATGATATCCTGCAAATCGCATTACTCTTCTTACAGTTTCTGGATTTACACATATTCCATATAGTTCACATAGTTCCGCAACAATTTTAGTGTTGGATTCTTTTTAATATACCTTAGAATAAAGCGTTTCGTTTCATACAGTAACTTGGTCTTCCAGATCTTTTATTTTGAATCAGAGTCTGTTTCTTATAACACTTTATAGTATCAAAATCTGTAGAATTACTTACTAAATTAAGTAAATCGGAAATTTTTCGAATAGATTTCCCTTTCTTTTGATGCAAATCAATAACTAATCTGCGGGTTTCTAACGATGTTTCCGTATGTCACCGAGCCATAGTAAGAAAACATTAAAGTAACGAATATGCTCTAAAAACAAAAATTCGAATTACAAGCGATTTTTAGATTGTTGCCTAGCTTCTTTATCCAAACTAATTACATAATAGGCAAAGTTCGTTTTTATTTATTGCAGATGATTGTACTTAGGAATTATAAAAACGTCCGATTAATTCTGTGATATTTTTTTTTCCCCATTTCAGCCTAAAACGTTATTTTTAAAATTTACTATTTAATATTTTCAAATTTATTTAGTACAGAGAGGGAGCTAAGAAATTCTGTATTCAAAGAAAAAATATTCTTTATCGTTCTGTTTCCAAGCTTTTTTGTTATGATTTGAAAAAATAAAATAATTCTAGTGCCCGATCACATTGGAAGATGATTAGTATTTCTAAGAACACAGAAGATATTAATACCAGTCTCCAAAGAAAATCAAATAACCTCATGTACAGTTTGGAGATAAAACGGTACTTTTTAGTAACATGTTAAAGACAGCAATTTCAAGACCTTTGTGAAACTTGGCTATATCTAACAATATTGTTGCGTGCGTACGGGTTCGTTATGAAATGAATGTACAAGTCCGATGAAAAATGAACAAAAATTTATTATTATCACAACAAAAATGCTTAAATTTTCTCAAATTATCATGCAGTATTATAATCTCGCAACAGTATTATCTTTTAACTACTCAATTCCAATAGAACGTAATTCAAAACAACTAAAGAACGCTAATCCGCGAATTCACTACAATCGACAAGAGCAGTTTTCTAAACAACAAACCAACAACCTCTTCTAACCAACAAAACCTATTCTAACCTCCTTGCAACAAACTAAGCAACTACTCCGAACTGAGATGTTTTCCCCCTTTTATAAGATTTTAAAAATCACACGCTAGAATTTTATGGTACTTTCTCGAAATCAAAAAGACATATTTAATGCACGCGTTCTGGTATTTTAAATTTTCTGGCTTAGCTTTCTTTTAATATTCGTCACGCGCTGCACTGCGCGAGAAATAAAACCATTTAATTTATAATTGAACTAACATTAGCTTTTTAAATACCAAATTCGTAACAGTATTAATTGCGTATTATTTCAAATTAAGTGTTTGCAAATATATGGTATTTTAAATAAAATGTTTTTCTGAGCAGCATCGTATTTGTAATGAAGTGCGACACATATTGCAAAATAGTTATCTGCACGAAATGAAACTTTGTTTCAGTTATTATTTAGTTTATTTTGAGAACGATGTTATTATTTATAGATTTGCATTTTTTGATGAGTTCCAGCAGCAAGAGGCAGCTGATATTTGCAGCTGTGATTTTTAGGAGGGTAATGGAAACAATCGAGCGAGCAGTGATACAACTTCTCTTCATTAATAGCTCATTAACAAATACTAAGTAGTGTTAATTTTTTTGAGAAGTCTACTTTAGATACACTTTAATTAAAACCAAAATTATCTACTTTGTTTGAGTATATATGCCTAATATTTTTATTTTTCAAATTTTACATATTAATTTTTTTATTAAATTATTTTCCAAACGAATTAATATTACTGTACTTTAAAAATCATTATTTGGCTTGTTTAAAGACTTTCCTGATCTACAGTCAGACAGAAAGATTTAAAAAAGAAGAGAGCCTTCAGTTGTGATAAGAGTTTAAAAATAATATAACAATGTTGTAAAAAATATTTTAATCATCTTCGATTGTATTTTTGATTTTATGCATTCATGTAGGATTTTGTGTTATTTTATTTATTTTAAGATTAATAACACTACGATTTATTTTTATTTAGTCGTATATGTGGCCACGTGTATTTTTAAATGTTTAATCTTAAAAATAGGTGAATTAGAAACTGAAATGTAGGCAGTTTCGCTCCTAAGGAGGTTTAGCTACATTTGGCGATTTTTCGCTAATTTTCTAATTAATTTTCCCGGCTTTCTGAAAGATTCGCGAAAACACATTTTCTACTCGACGCAGATACTAACCAGCAGTAATAAAACTACATGGACATGTTTAAATTTTATTACATGGATTTTATATATTATGTCTGATCTCTAACATTCTCTTTTAGCTTGAAAAATCCTCCACCTTAAATTACTTTATTAGATGGATACTTTATTAAATTACTTTATTGTAGCTTAGAAAACACTATTAAATTCTATGGAATAATCTTTATTAATATGTGCAAATTCAGTATTACTGTATCGAACTTTATGCCACTTATCTTTTAAGGCAATGTTTCTCAATTTTTGTTTCAGGTGGGAACCATTTTTATATATTAGAATATTCTCCTGATCATTTTACATTTGTTCTCTACGAACACAGTTTTTGAGCATATTTTACTACTAGTATACTCAGGGCTTAATTTCTAAGATTAGAAGTGCCGGGCCCTATGAAAGACCGTCAGCAAAGAAGAACAAAAGTAAATAAATAAAAAAAATGAGTATTAAACTCATTAATAATTTTAAAATAGTTAATTATTATTATCAAATTAATAATAGCTTTTAATTAATTGTTTATAAGTGTTATTTATTCAATAATATTATATAATTAATTAAAATTTAATTGATAATTAATTTTTATTTATTGAAATAATTAAAAAATTGAAGTTATTAAATAATTAAAATTAAATAAAATGTAAAGAGATAAATTAAAATTTAATAAGCGATTTTTAGTATAATTTTATTAATTAATTGTTTAAAACAAATTTCTACTAAAATTTATTCAATTACATAAAAGAAGTGCCGCAGCCTTTCTTATTCAGGGCTTCCGGTGTGTTCCAGCTAGAATTATGATTTATTACAAAAACTAAGAAGCTTCGGAGCAGAGATCCGGTGGGCTCCAGCCCAATTTAAGTTCTGATCGTAAGGAAGGGGGGGGAGTTCTTTTATCATAAAAATTAAATATATTTAAAGTATAGCTGGTGAAGATTCCAGAGCGAAAGAGAAATGAGGGTATGAGTGGATGGAAACAAAAAATGAGGAGAATCTTGGTGAGAGATAACGTTCTCTGTGACCGCGGCTTTTTGCTGATATAATTATAGCGATCAAGCATATGTGTGTCAGGGTAAAATGAGTCCTGAATCTGACTCCTAAGGATGAATGTAAAGTTTCTGGTTACACTTCTCCCCCCATTAGTGGATACTGTAGGAAGACAATGTATAGGACGTGCTTGAGCAGTTTATCTCAATATTTCACTCTTATTGTACTCGCTGTCACTTAATGCACATTTAAGAACACAAATTTTCCTTCCTGCGAGGATAACTAACTGTAAGCATCAATAACAATACACTAGATACGATGGCATGGCGAGAAATTTACGCATTTCTAAACAAACTCCACCAAATTTATTGCCCTTCTTAAAGGAAAAGGTTTCGACATGTGAGTATGGGGACTTTACTTGAACGTCTCATGTTCTTACGAGTTCGTATTTCTAGGGAAATAGGGTATTGCAAGGTCTGCTTATTGTTAAACTAAAGCGTTAGGAATTCTAATTCCCCCCCTTTAAATTGTGGTTCGGTTTTATAAAAAGAAGTACCGGAGCTCATCTTATTTAGGGCTCTGGCTAGAATTGTAATTTATCTTAAAAATTGACAAGTACCGGAGCCGGGTTCCGGTGCAATTTAAGCACTGAGTATACTTATATTTTTATAATATAATCAATTATAATTCCTTTAATTTTATATTAATATCAGTTAATCAAGTTAACAGAAGAAAATTTATACTCTTTTTTTAATACACTTTTTCTTTTTAAGTAAAAATTAAATAAATGTTGGTATTCGCATTAGTGAGAAGGATGAGCATGTGGATTCTTGCAGTGCTGTTCTGTGTTTGGAGGGATTAAGCTTAAGTCTGAGGTCAGCATGTGCACCAAGCCGATTTCAGTTCTGTCTTTATTTGAGATAGCGGTAAGGAGCCTTTCCACACAGACACATAGAAGCAAACATAATTATAATTTTTAAAGCACAATTGTACTGTTTCCATATTCATTGGTGGTGATTCGAGTGGCACCAGATGTGAAGCAACATGATGGCGAGAAGCTTTGTAGTTCTTTCAATCAAATCCTTCTTTTGTTACTAAGTAGGAAGTTCATAGATAGGGTAATAGGTAATAAATTTTATTAAATGTCAGTCATGGGAGAAAAAGATGACAAATGATTAACATGTGTAATTTGCAAATTTTGTGATTGAGATCCACAGATTGAGAAGTACTTTTTCACAGTGCTTTAGCAGGTACAGATAAAGGTCTACATAGTTAAATTAGCTAAAAAAAGCAGACGAAATACATATATTCACATTCATATTGTAGAGTCATTAGGTTTTTTTGAAGTGGAAAACGGGAAAAATGTGCAATGCCCTCGCCGGGACCTCTCAAATACGTGCTGAGTGTGCTAACCATTATACCACAAAGGCATGCTGGAAGGAAGAAGAAAATACCTTATATATTCCCCCTTTTAGAGGGCAGCTGAAGTTTAGGGGACCCAATCGCCAAATCCTGAAGGTGAAGAATCATCATGCACCATCTTCTAGTTTGGGAGACGCTATGCAGTCATTAGGGTTTTTTGAAATAGGACACAGGAAAAATATGCGATGCTTTTGCCAGGACTTGAACCTGGATCTCTCAAACACGTGTTGAGTGAGCTAACCATTACACCATGAAGGCATGCTGGAAAGGAGGAAGAAAATACCTTCTATACTCCCCCTTTCAAAGGCCAACTGGAGTTTAGGGGACCCAATCACCAAATTCTGGTGGCAAAGAATCATCATCTACCATCTTTTAGTTTAGACGCCACTGTACTCATTACGTTTTTTTGAAGTAGGAAACGGGAATAATGTGCAATGCCTTTGCCGGGATTCGAAACCTCTCGGATACGCACCGAGTGTGGTAACTGTTACATCACAAAGGCATGCTGGAAGGAGGGAGAAAATACCTTTTAACATACAATTTATGTAAACAGTTTTACGCAGGTACATATTTTGAATAATGTATAAAAAATTATTGTCTTCCCCAGTTGTGCTCTGGTGGTGTAATTGGTAGCATGCCTGGCTGATAATTGGGAGATCCATGGCTCGAATTCTGGCCTGTCAGTTTTTCGATCAGTGTGACTGGTAGCTGCTGTGATAGAGTAACGCTGCATAATATGACATGAAAAAGAAGGGAAGCATCAGACCACAGATGTTTCTAACATCAGTTAAAACTAAATTAAAAAATGGAGAATTAGTAACATTAGATAATTCATATAATTTTTAAAGAATCAATATTTCTAAAATTTTAAAATATCTAGTCTTAAAATTGAGTTATTTAATTTATGATATGAGTATGTCAGACTAAGAAACTCAATCGAATAATGCCAGGTTTAAGAACAATTATAAATTTATTTTAGGCATGGTCTCTTAAAAAGAGACTTTGGAAATCCGATGATCCTAAAAGAATTACAAAAGCGAAACACAGATTAGTTACAGCACTCAGAAGAAACCCTGAGATCGAAATGTTGAAGAAAGAGCCATCCTATTATAGATTTCGAGTGATTACACATTCGAATTCAGGTAATTTGCATTATAAAGTGGATTTATTGAATACTGAGAACATGATTGTATTATTTTCTTGGAATAGCTTTAGTATAGCCCACCCAGAATTTTAACCAAAAAATATTGCCAAGAATGGCACTAAATGATATGATGTGGCAACCCACACCAGTTTACCACCATGTGGTAACCCATACTATTCAGCAAATGCAATGTAAACCGTAAATTTCTGATTGCTAAAGAGGATAGAATTATGGTTACAGCTAACATAGTGATCAATTACATTTATTCAATTTCAATACAAATTATCGAGATATCCATTTACTCAAAGTTATATGCACGTGCCCCTGTACTCTTACTTTTCAGGCATAGCTTTCTCCTAAAATTTGTCTTGCTGCATTGCACGGGGAAATACAACATTTTTAATTAGAATTCTACTAAAATTAACTACACAAAATTCGTGACACTCAGATATCGTGGAGAATACTGTTTTGGAGATCAGATTTTTGCATTTAGTTTATGGATTGCTCTAAACCTGCAGTCAGAGATGTTGTAATTAAGCATGAGAGATTTTAAAGGAAAATTTAAGGTGGGAGTTTTCAAACAAGTGTAAAAGTTTGGGAAAGCCAGGCATTCCAAACAGATATTTTATGTATGAATTAGCAATATGAACTTTTTAGAGGATTTTTGATGGATTGTGGATTATTGAAGGATAAAGTTTGTTGTGAAAAATGTAAGATACCATGGAAAGGTATCTTACATCTGGGAAAGCCAAGCAAAGGCGAGATTTTCCGGCATTGTTTTTAAAATTATATCCTTTTCACCTTAATCATTCCTTCATATTTTTTCTTTTAAAATCGTGTATAATAGTTGTAAATTTATTATCTACGATTTCTGGTGAAATCAAGATGGCAGCCATTTTTGAAACATGGATTTTCTTAAAAAATCTTGATGGTAACCATTTTTCAAAACAGCGTATTTCACGTGCTTTGCCGCCAAAAGAAAATTTGCCAAACTTTGAAGGTGGGCTATACAAAAGCTGTTCCATTTTCTTGGAGATTTTATAATCTTACTTTTTATAATTTTACTTTCCAGACATTTTGTTACATAATGGCAATTATTCAATGGTAGTAGCAGGAATAGTAGGAAAAAGTAATGTATTTCATAGTTTGTGTATAATTATGGCAACTACAGAAATGCCAGTAGCAGAAGTAACAAGAAAGAATAATATATTTATCCACTAGTGCTAAAAAAATTACAGAATAATTTGTGGCTCAATGATTTATTTATACAAGGAAAATGTATACCATGATTTATAACATGTATGGAATGGGTCAGTTTGATTATAGTTGAATTCTATGTTTAGTACAACAGAATCTTGATCTGTCACCCTTTTTATCTTTTTGCCATTTCTGTTCCTGAGTTTAATGCTATTTATTCCCACATTTGTTGTTTCTTGAGTTACATTTTATCGCATTCATCATCTGTAAATAATATTGCCAGTGTAGTATTTCTCCCGTGGATTGTTTGGGGGAGGGGATAATTTGATGTGAAGTACAGGGTGGACAAAAAGCTGCTTTACATGGTCAGTTATTTCATTGTAATAACAATCAGTTTTTTTCCAAAACATCAAATATGTGCAGCACCATTATCACTGCACAGTTTGATTTGTCTGAATGTCATCCTATTTATCCACTTTAACAGCTGCAGTGTCACATGCTGGGGGGGGCTTCCAGCACATTTGCCCACAGCGCATCATAGTCCATGTACTGCTTCTTCCTGAGCTAAGATCTGATAATTCCCACAAGGCATTGTCAGTATCGTAAGGTCTGGATTTTGGCCAAGGATAAAGGGACCCACATAAATTTGGAGAACCATGTCCAATCCACCAGCCAGGGAACAGTTCATTCAGGCATTCACAAAGACCAAGTATAAGTGGGCGAGAGCTTCATCGTGTTGGTAAACAACTGTGTCAAGAATGCCTAAATTTTGCAACAATGAAAGAAGCAGTCATTCATTCAACATCTTCAGATAAATAATCACAAATCCTGAAAGTAGTACAGAAGTGTGTTCTTCAACCATTTCTGCTCAAAAGCATGATGTGCAGAGAATCGTTCTCAATTTCTTGGTACAAATATGGGTTTTCCTATGCCTATATGAAGATGATCCATCCAATAAATAGCAAATTCATCAGAGAAAGGAATGCACTTCCAAACTGGAATGGTGGGGAAGGCCTCCAACAAGATCCTGCATACATCCAGTGGACGGTTTAAGTCATCGATCGCCCATAAGTTCATCAATGGCCATTGCCTGCAAGCTTGTTTATTTTCACGTGGATACACTGTGCTTCTTTTAATTTCACGTTCTGCAGTGCGCTTTCTGCTTGGCTTGCAGGGCGGACTAGGGTTTGGTAAAGCTCGATGATTTGAAGCTCGGTTAAGCTGGAGCTTGATTGTTTTTTTGTGCTTTCGAGCATTTGAAGTTGACATACTTACATTATCAAAAGACTTGTAATTAAAATAATATTTTTTAGAAATTTAAAAGAATTTTTTTCTTTACTTATATTTTAAAAACACAAGTGCATGTAGTGATTTATCTGATAGCTTCGACCTAATTTTGGTGCAAAAATTGTTGGCCATGGAAAATGCCCTCTCAGAATCAATCGACGTTGGTTTTATACTGTAAATAGCTTCAAGTAACCGCTTTATATTTACAGTCAATTCACCATTACTTTTTGACAAAGTAAATTATTAACTTAATTTTTCAAAGCGGTCACCTTCCGGTAGTTTGCTGCTTGGAACTTCTAATAGTACTCTAAGTTGTTCTTCAAGAGAAGCATCAACTTTGGTAGTTGTTTCTGCTTCACTGTTTGATTTTTCATTTGATGAATCTGGTGACTGCTAGTTCTATAGAAGCTTTTGATGGCATTTTATTTGTTTAGTGAATTCATCAAATCTGTGATGTTTTTGTTGATCCTGCTGTTGATGTAAAAATCGATATTTTCAGAAAGAGAACTACTTATTTCAGATTCTTGTTCAGTTAACTTCTCTCGCATAAATTTGATAGAAATATATGCTGTTCATAAAGTGGCTTGTTTTTCACCCACAGCGTTAAGTGCCACTTCAATTGGTTTTAACGCCAAGACTATTGACTTTATTAATTTCAGGTTTAAATTTGTTAAAAGACGTTCAGATCAAAGTTCAATGAGTACATCCTTTGTAACGTCATACAATTTTACAAATGTTTCAAGCATTTTCAGCATTGAATTCCATCTGGTTTTACAATCCAGAGAGAGTTGTTGCTCTATCTATAATTTTTCTCTAGATTTAGACCTGAACAAATTTGAACGCACAACAGAATTTAAAAAAAAAAATTACAAATTGTCTCACAATATTTATGTTTTTGAACGATTCATTCTATAATTCAGTTTCATTAATGCTCAAACCATTATCAACTTCATCAGTCTCTCCTGAACTTTTGTCTATTCTTTCTTCTGTCCCCGATTTTTCTTTATAAAACGTTTTTGTAACAGCCAAATGCAAGGCATGCGCAAGACAATTGATAAAAAGCAGGTGATTCTTTTCCGAACTTTATCATAACACTTGCTCCATCCCCAGTAGCGAATAAAACATCGTGCTTAAATGATAGACCAAAAGATTCGAGGTGCTCTTCTACGAGTTCTTGCATTTTTTTTGCATCGCAACTTCCAAAAATTCTTACCAGTCCAGGATTGATGCTTTTTTAGCAGGCAGTATGGAGATTTATATTCAGGAATCTCCGGTTACCGATACTGGCCCATTCATTCATGGTAATAGAAAATTTCTTTGATTCGGCAATATCTTTTTTAATATCATTTTTGATTTTTTGTTTCACAATTTCTATATGGTTATGAACAAGAGCCATTACAGATTTTTCCTTGGCTGGAAGCTTCATACCCCTTGTTGAATAAACTCTGACTGACTGAGCGATTTGATGAATTGATAAACCATCTACTGCAGCCATTTTTGCAACAATCTCTTCAATTGATGTTTTGATTACAAAATTATCCAAAGTTTTTGTTTTTTTTAGCTTCGTTTCTGCCTCTACTTTGTCAACGTCAATGTTATTGACGCTGCTTAGATGACGCATTGTTGACGTATTTCCATTTAAAATGGAAATTTTTTTATTGCATTCATTGCAGCCTGCATAATTTTGGTCTGCCTTGGCTAAATGACTCCAAACGGTTGATCTTTTGTTTTTTGGCATGATTATTATTCTAGAAAAAAATAGAAAATACTATTCTAGAATATGCGTGCGTTCACGGCTGTAACTCAAATAATAATAACCAATTTTACAAAAATTTCAACTAAATTTGTGTTGAGATATTAGTAATCGCATTCTTATTGGTTAAAAGGAAGTATAGCTTTCTGTCAGGTCCGAAGTATTCCGAAACTTAATCCCGTTCTATTTGTTTATTATTTATTAAAACCTGATCTGCTTGTATCTCTGTTTGTGCCTCTGCGTATTACTCTGTAATAAATGTTTGTTTTGCAAAACACGGCATTTTCAATGTTCAACAATTTTTATTTTATTATTATTTTTTTACTGATACTAAGAAATTCATTATTTAATATTACATATACCTTACTACTTAAGATTAAAAGTATATTGTTTCTCTCGGTAAAGATTAAAAATCCTTGCATTTCTATGTACTGTACTTGGCCGCATATTCAGAGTGCCCTCATGTTGCATGGACACTATACATTTACAAACAGCCATGCCTTCTCCCAGTTTCGAACCCGGGCCCTTCGGCACAGCAGTCAGTGCCACTAGCCGCTAGGGCGACGCAGGAACAATGTTATTTTTTGACAAAACTTCTGCTTAAATCAATGAAACTAATTTTTCTGAAGTTTTTATTAAAATGTTTAATGTTTTTAGGTTACCTTGAAAGATTTACATATAATGTAGGCAGTTCCAGATTTTGAATCTTTCACACAATTTGTTTGATTCGAGGATTTGAATGTCCCATCTTCAGTTAGCACCAGCACAACCATTCACCTAAAGTTTTTTTTCATGTTTATATCAATGAAATCGCAAGAATTTTTCATTTTATTTGATAATTTTGGAAGGAATGCAATTAATTCTAAAATTGGAAGTGTTGGAGCACCCTTGGAGGCCATTAAAAAAGATGAGGAATAATAAATAATTAAAATGAAATAAAATATAAAGAAACTAACAAAACACGCTGAATAAATACTAATTTAGAAGTCAAACAACAAAAAATATAACGCTGATTTTTGTTGTTTGACTTCTAAATTAAACTAACAAAAGTTAATAAATTAATGACAAATAGTTAAGCAATAAAAAACTGAATATCTTCTAAAGACTCACTTTCACGGTTAAATAAAGCTTAAATATTGGCTTTCTAAAATTTTTTTTTTTTTATATTTAAAATTATAATAAACACATACCTGTAGAAAGAAACATGTAACATAACATAAAATTGATAATCAAGTATTGCAAAATGGTAGAAATTAATTACAAAATGCCTGTACCTAGGCATAAACTGTTAACTGCATACATTTGTTATGCTGTTAAAAAGAAATGCATTGTTGTACAATCAAACAAAAGAAACATCAGCTATGCTAAAATCACCAAAAACGTTTTATCCTCACTTTTAGTTCTGGAAACGTTATCACATTTTTTAAGTTTATCTGATCAGCAATTTCATGCTTAATTGCCAAAATGGTGAAACCATTAAGACGATTTTGTGTAATAGCCGAACATATAAAATTCGTAACTAATTTTAACTCATTTTGCAACTTGCTACAATTATTGATATAGTTAGCAATAATCTTAGTGGCACAAAATTTAACTTTGTTATTAGTCTAGTACATTGCTTAGACTTTCCTTTTTTCCCCAAATGCACAGATACTGCCGAAATCACTTCTGCTAATTCTATTAATGTCGCATCAGTTAAAATACATTCAAAATGTGTACAGTGTTTTAGTAGCATTTCTTTAGACAAGTATGTTTTAGAAGCTTTTCTTTAGACATATATTTTAGACATGTACATATTTAAAACATACATATAAGAATTTAAAATAATTTCTGTGGTGACCAAGTTGGTCAAATGCTTTATTTACCGGGGAGCGGGGGCCCTTGCATTTTTCTTTTGTATATTTCACATGTTCATCTCGTGCTCTGTATGAGAAATTACTTTTTTTCCTTCTTATGTGGTGTCGTGTTATTGCCGATTCAAAATAAGTCCCAAAGTTGATTTCGATAGTAAGTTCTTTGAATCAATAATATTATATATTACATACATTATTTGTGACAAATTACTCTTAAATTTGATTCTTTCTCAATCTGGCTTCTTTTTTTTTTATCTAAAAAATATATATTTTTTAAATATTATTATTGTAGGGTAATGTAAAATTTTATTCACTAAATTTGTAACAGCAAACTGTAAGATTAACGATCTAGACTTCTAACAGCAGAAGATAAATTTGTGAATGAAATTATGTATTAATTAACAACTGAAGGAAAATTCATGCACCAGATTTTGTTTAAATGCTAGAAGAGAGAAAGAACTACAGTTAATGACATTGTATTATTTAAGCACCTTTACTTTTCTAACTTGCCTTAACTTCTATTTTTCACAGGAGTACATATTTTTCCATTAAAAAGATACATTTATTGATTGAGAAAAGTAAAAACTTCTTCAAAAACAATTGTTTGTAAATTATATGAAGTTTTGCAATATTTATAAGGCTTAGTTTTTGTTTCAAGATATGATGCTTCCCAATCATGAAATAACAAAAATTCAAATACTGCTCTTCGTAAATATTTAATCACGATCAAACAATTGTGAATTTTATTCATTATTGTATTGTGCAATAGTATAATATTAATTATTTATAAGTTTTGTAGATACTGTATAATGCATTTTTATGCCTATCAACGAAGTAACAAAATAAGAAAAATTAAACTGATTATATGTAAATTTAGATGATCCGGATTTAACGGCAGAAGAATCGATGAAAGACGAAAACTACGAAGACCACAGCGAAGAGATGCAAAAAATCCCTCAAAATATCTTTCTGGAAACAGAAAATAAAAAAACAGATACAGAAACAGTAGCATTACCTGTTTTTAAAGAGACTTATAACAGAAGTGATGACCACATAACATTCCATAACTATGCTGCAAATGATTATGGAAGTGAAATTTATAATGAAAGACCATACTTTACACTGACACCATGTGAAACTTTTCCAGAAAGGCACCATTTGGCTGAAAATGAGTCTCAGGCCATAAGTGATACATGTTGTTGTGACATCTTGTTAGATAGCAGTTTTTTGAGCAATCAGAGGTGCATATGGCATGGCATATAAAATGGATATTATTTTTCAGTAAGCAAGATATCATCCTATCAAACTATAATCTTATAATACCTATTAGCCAATAATTGATGCTTTATATTACGAACACACACACACACACACACCCAAAAAAAAAAAAAAAAAAAAAAAAATGCATATATTTAAAGTGCATAGTTTTTCATAAATACAACTATTTGTAAAACAAGTAATTTTTTTATTTTTCACAAGAAAATGTATATATACAGCATGATACTTTTTCGCAAAACAATAAAACTTCCCTAGTTTTGCCTTATTTTTTATACAAATTATGCATGTACTTCAAATTTGAAATACAGATACAGTATTAGATAAATAGTATTTCATAAAAAGGACAATTTGCAATAAATAAGTTATCTAAAAGAGTAAAGTGCAGATGTCAATCAAATAATAAAATAAAAATTCTAGTTGCTTCTTTTCTTCCGTTTTTTAATTTTAATTTACTACATAATGAAGAAGGATGAAATAAAATATAAAGAAAAGTCAGGTTCAAGGGAAGTGGAAAGGGTCTCTTTATAAATTTAAAACCTATAAATTACTGCATTTCGTACATGAAAATTTCAGACTTAAAACTATATATATTTGTGTACATGCATGTATATACATATAGGCACAAAAGTTAAATATGATTAATACAAGAAAGCCATGTCCCCTCCTTTTTAATATTATTTATCACAATTTTTTTTACATTCAAAATTTTGAGTAAGAGAGAAAATGTTTTTATAATCAAAGGATTGAAAACATATTTTTTACTTTTGCAAAGAGCTGCGAGATAAAATTAGGGCAAAATAATAAGTTCTACAATTGTAAAATGAGTATTACTCACTTGTTCATATACAAAAAGTTATCTAGAATATGTATATAAGTATTAAAAAAATTAATTGAAGCTAATATTTTAACTATCCTATCATAATTTAGTTATGTTTTTACATGTATTTGATACAAATACCTATACATTTGAATTATAATAAATTTTAATTTATTAATAAAAATACTTCATATTTGTATTTTCACAAAATGCACACATTTATATTCCAGTACGGAAGTACAGTAAAACTTTTAATATTTTACAAATAATGAGCTTATGAGCTTACATGCAAAAACAGGTACTTACTGGCAGTGATGAATCAGAATTTTATTACTTATATTATTATTAATTGAAATTGCTTGAGAAAGTTCAGAATGAATTGATCCATGAGATGAATAATATTTATATTTTACAACATTGATTTTATGTAATCAGATCACTTAGTATCAGATCTATTTTAAAAATGATACTTCTGCTAAGTTTTATTCAAAAGAATTTCCGACAGATAGGCTTGATAGTGTATTACATATATATCTTTCACTGTTGATGATACAAATATTTATATAATAATGACAAAAGAGTGCTTTTTTAACTCTCTGAGCGGTATTTAAACGGTATTCAATAGCTAAATTTGTATATTTGTTAGCCCAGAAGGTTATATTATTTTTCGTTTTGGCATTTAGCGTTGAAAGATTTAAAAGGCTGTATCACTTTTCAAATTGTTGCTACCAAATATTATCACCCTGTATTATATTAAAGAAATTAAATAATGAAGAATTTGCAAAAATGTATACATGTTTCTTGCATTGTGATAAAACAATGGTACCTAGAACATCCAATTTTGGATAACATAATCCTTTACCTGAGTATGGGCATCTGGTAGACCAAATTTGGAATTTGTTTTATCATCTGTTTCATATTTTGTAAACAAATTTTGGATTAACAAACTCAACGATTTCAAAGCGAACAATGGCAACACTGTATGAAAAAACATTTTTATCTCCAATGCGAAAGACTATGTATTGGAAATTCTAAAGATATGCTTTTTAAAAATATTTTGTGATACTGCTGTTGAATTTAATTTTATGGTTTAAGTGCGATTTATTTAATAAATAAAGGTATTTGTGTGCATTTTGTGCACACAAAACGTAAAAAAAAGCCTACTTGGGCGAAATATAAAATCTGAAAGCGTTTATTATTATTTTTTTTTGATGGCACTCAAAAAAAAAAAAAAAAAAAAAAAAAAAAAAAATAGAGGCATTAGCTCACTAATGATAAAAATATAGCCTGATGGAATCGATCGATCGATCACCTACACTGAGCTAATAGCCATTCATTTTTTTTTTTAAAGAGTTTGAATACAGCAGCTTTACTACCTTAAAAAAAAAAACATTTTAAAAATCCTTCTTATATTAATTAAAAAAATTTAAAAATACTTCTTATATTAATTATTTGTATCTTCAACAGTGAATCATTATGTGTAATAAACTATCCGATTATGGTTTACTGTTGGTCATCTGAAAGAAGCACTGTTCAATAGCAGTGCATACTTAATATTCTTCATAATACTTATTATTTTTAGAGGTGGTCACCATGAAAGGCATCACTGTATTTATTAAAAAACATCATAGAAACCTACAAAATTATTGCAAATTTTATAGGATGTCTGCTTGAATAAAATAATCTATGTCACATTATGATGAGAAAATATTTACAGCAGAATATATATCCCTTGACTAGTACTTCATTAAGATGAGGTAATTCTGTACTAAATGCAAAAATTGAATGAGTTAAATCGGTAAGTTTTATATGCATAGTAAGCAGAAGTATGCTTTCTGATTAAAATTTAAAATTGAGCTTGCAGTGCATAGATTCAGCAAGTTGAACATTATCACTCAGAAGTGTAAAAGTAAATAAATAAAAACAGGAAAGAGTTTTACAAAATATTATATGTATACATTTTAAACATAACACATAAGAAGGGAAAAAAGTCAGCATCTGACATAATACAAATAAATTGTCTTTACAATTATTACAAAATTATTTTAGTTATTACAAAATAAAAGCATATGGCAGATACAGGAAATTCTGTACATTTACTATTTTGTTTTTACAAATTAAAACTAAAATGATAAACAGTTCCTATTTGTATACCATTCCTTTTAGCACAATATTTATTATATTAAACCAATATTTCAGTTAAAATAATAATAATAAATTAATAAAATGTGCCTTCTAAAAGAAATCATTATATTTTCAAAAAATAAACAAAACAAAACCAAACTTATAAAAACAACTTTGGTTTCAGCAAGTAGGCTTGGCTTACAATGTGGATATACTGTAATTTGTTACAAGAGTTCACATAAATACGGAGGGTGTTTACACATTTTTGTAATGACTTTGATTTTCTCCACGAATTTAAATATTTAATTTAAAAATATAAACATTACTGCCATCAAATTGGAATAAGGTTTGATTATCGGCTGCAGCATTAAAAAAATTCTTTTCTTTAAAATGTTGCTGAAAAATAAACAATGGATCGAAGCGCTATCCGAAGAGAAATACTCTTATTCAATTATTAAAAAGAGATGCGAAAAGCATGGGTTTTAATATTTCTACACGTAAAATAAGTGACATATAATATGAAAGGAAAGAAACGTCAAAGTTTACATCTGATTGGGAAAAAGGCAAAATGCATACCCAACACAGGTATGAATAGCTATTATTAGTCACATCTCATGTTTTAAAGGGAAATGCTCCCCCCCCAAAGAGCTATTGCAAAGTCTTTAAATATTTCTGTAGGAACTACACAACAAAATTATAATATCCGATTTAAAGCTAATCAAAACAGAGAAACATAATGTTCGTCGCCTAATGCCGAAACATGTTTCTTGGCGTAAGACTACATGCAGACTCTTGTATGAAAATTATTTGGCAGGTAAAAAATCGAAACATATGGTTACAGTTGATGAGGCTAGGATATACATATTCGACTGCAATAGAAAAAGATCGATTTATTACCAATTAAAGAGGAGAAAAAGACTTAATATGCTGGTTCAGAGAAACCAAAGAAAGATTTTCTAAAAGTTTTATGGTTATTGCTGGATTCTATTATAACCGAAAACTTAAAATAAGGAAAGTAGGCAAAAAAATATCAAAATTAATTTGGATTACTATCAGAAATATGCTTTAACATGTATTTCTAAAGAAATTCTATCTCTTTATCCAAACAATCTTCACGATGTTAATCTTCACGATTCCATAGGGATAAGGCTCCGTGCCATACCTCCAAATCTAGTGCTCTCTTTTTTCTGAAAAAATGAGAAATGAAATCGTAATTGAAGCTATGCCCTTTCAATGCATCCCTCCCAAATCCCTCGATGTGTCTCATATGGATTACTGTGCATTTGGACTTTTAAAAGAAGCTCTTTATAAGTGGCATCCCCAAACATTGGATAGACTCTGGAAGATTGTGAAGGAGGAGTGGAATAAAATTAAAAATTAACCTTGATGTTTTAAGAAAAGGATTTCCATGTTGGAAATCAACATGTAATATGATAGTTCAACAAAAAGACTCCCAGACTGAACATATTAGAAAATAAAATTCTAAGATTTGTTTATATATAAATCTTTTGCAAAATGGTTACAAAAATGTGCGAACACCCTCTGAGCTAACAATATTTGCACAAAGGAAAAAAAAAAAAAAGTTTATGGCACCAAAATTTGATTAGGAACATGTAAAAACAATTTGGCTGCAGCTGAGAGTTAGAGAGTAATGCACTTTATTCAGAATTATTCTTGAGAAATCACCAGATTATTGCTTAAAATAGGCTACTTAAACCTTGTGTTGTTATCTGAATTTCATTGTGCAGTACTTATGGTACTAAAACACAGTTTGCTTTGAAACACATTCGGAGTAGCTAAGTATATAATAAAAATAATGGAGGAAGACTATATAGTCGTTGTTTGTTAATTGCAATTACTGGCAAGGGCACTTCTTGTTCAAGGTGGAAATCTTTCCATGCACCTTGAACTATTTTTGCATAGCAGAACATTTTTATTAGTCTCCTTTATGAAACATTTTTTTAATGAATGTTTTTGATGAAAATCTGCTGTATCAATATACTTAAATAATAAGAAAAAATCCATACCGATTATTCTTCATAAATATGAATCATACTTAAAGATTTTTGATATTTCATTTTTTCAAAAAAATTATATAAAATTAAATATATTAAAATTTTTTCTCAAATAAGGCTGTAAAAAAGAAATATATATATAATGAGTTATCTGAAAAAAGAGTATTCGAATTTTCTGACCTTAAACTTTAATTCAAAATTAAAATACAGCATTTTAGTTGCTTAATAAAGTTTTTTCTTTGTTTATGTTATATGCATAAATATTAACTATTGTAACGTAAGGGACACTGAAGTTTGGTACTTAGTTGGGAGGGGAGGGGGGAAGAGGAAAGAATTTAAAATAGCTCTATATATTTTTTTTCAAAAAGAATAAATTATTGAAAATATTTTTAAGTGTATATGCTTTTTAATAAATTATTGCCTCATTTCTTTTATTAAAATGAATAGTTTCAGTTCTAGAACTATACTAGACCATTTCGAACCTAAATAATACCATAGCAATGTTTCACATTAACATTCTCAAATGTATTTTAGTGCAACAAATTTTGGAGTTCTTAGTGCAATTATAATGTTCAAGTAATTATTGCTAATTTGCAGTGTATGCATAAAGAACTATTAGAGTTCATTTGTTATTAGAGGTGCATAAATGAATTCAAGAAAATAAATTTATGTACATTGTATATACATTTACTTACTGTGGAGAAGTATCGTGTACATTTAACAGAAACATATTTTCCTTTTTCAAGTTAAATTTTGCACATGAATTTTGATAACCTGATGTTCTGGACAGATTAACATTATCTTAATTCTAATGTGTATGATAAATGCCAAATTTAATTTCTATCATCAGAATATGTCTTTCTGAGTAAGTGCAATCAAATATGCTGCAATAATACATGAAGGCCTTTTTTTTTTTTTTTTTTAACTGAATTTTATGGCTATATGATTTGCTTTTATGACTAAGACTAATTATGCCCTTCCTTACTGCTTAGCATGTCTTTTTATTACAATAACTCTTTTATTTACAAAAGTTATCTTCAAGTACTTATCTTCTCAGTGCAGATTTTTGTTTATGGGTAATTTTTTGTAAAACTGCTGATAAAGCATCAGAAAAAAGATTTGAAGGTGTGTATTAGTAAAAGAGATAAACAGAAAATAAATTAACAAATTATGCATATCAGGAAAAGAACAAAATATATTTATCTGATAATGTTAAAACCACCAGCAGCTGAGTGGTTAAGACCATTAAACACTGGTAGTTCAACCTGTGTTCCAGTTCCGATGAATAGGCTGGTTAAATGGATGTTTTCGTGGTTATCGATATGTGTAAGTATAAGCTAGTTTCCAATAGAAAATCATTTATGAAGGCATCTCTTCCTCTAGCCTATGTGTGCTGTGTAGTATTTAAAAAAAAAAAAACTGTTACACCTGAAAATTAGCACCAGCAAAAATAATTTAACAATTTACATGTGAAATGTACATAAATTAATGCAATATATATGTTATATGAAAACTGTTCTTTAATGCAGAATACCACAGTTTAAAGTAATGGTTGCCTTCCTCCAACTTTTACCTTAACCATTTCGTGTTTACTAAAGTTACTACACATTCGGCAATATTAAAGCTTAACAATATTTTTTTTTTTTTTTATAATGAAAAATTCTTAATTGATTCATAAAGCATAAAAGTTTCAGTATAAGGAAAGTACTGCATACTTCATTAAATCTTTTTTTTTTAATATAAATAATAATTATTAGTTTCTGTAAAGTTCAGATTAAAAAGAAGCACCTCTATAAAAAATAAGCAATGGCACACAATTTTAAATACAAATGCGATAGTTCTGTGAATTAAAAATGAACCTATGAATTAAAATGATTCACATAACAATGATCTCAGTACAAGACACATTAAAAGATTAATTGTCATACACCTATAAACAATAACATGATATTTATAATAAAACAATATATGAGAAAAATATTTTACCAAAATAAAAAGAAAAATGGCACATAGTGTTCAACATTTGATTTAGTGAAATGACTATAAATAAATAAGATAAAACTGCAATTAAAATACTTTCAATTCCTATAATGAAGAATTTTCCTTTTTATTATGGGCTGCAGACTTTTCAAAAGGAATTAACACTTTCTTCTTCGGGGATTTCTTTTTAGCATTAAGTTTGTGCATTTGGCTTGAAATAAGTTCTTCATTTTTTTTTATGAGTTCATCAAGATCTTTCTACAAAAATATTAGAAGATATATAGTCAGTATAAAATTTACAATACATATTATATATATATATATACACTAGTGTACAAGACCAGAACAACTTTCTGATATTGGCCGAATTCTGCAAAAATCAACTGGGACACATGAAATTCATATTACAGAGGCACAATGTAGAACTTAAAGGATGAGAGAAGTAGAAAAGCCAAAAATGAATAGGAACATACAATACGGAACAAAAGAAAAAGACTTTATTGACAAAATGGCATTGGTACAAAAACTGCCTGGCCAAGAGGAAGAAAAACAAACCAAACAGCCTTAGTTAAGGGACATGACCTTCCCTAACTACAATGGTTGTGTTGCATTGCCTGTTGATACTTAACACCTTATTATCTAACAGTTCTAGGGTAAAAGTTCCCAATCTTCAAGAAGCATGTGTTTCAGTTGTCTGGTGTTCTTTGGAGGGTAAGATCGTGCTGCGAGGTGCCTCCCTAAAGCATCCCACACATGTTCAATGCAATTTAAATCAGGAGAGCATAACTGTCAATCCATTCTGTGGATATCTTCACTTTCCTCAATAGCATGAGCCCTGTGTGAAAAGATGCACGTGGTGGAAGATAACTTTATCACAGTAGCCATCTTTTGTAAATGAACCTCTGTCAAAAATACTGAGCTTTGTCTGCCCGTTCATCAATGTCTCATCATAGGACCACCTCAATATTCTTTTCCCCTGATGTTATTTACACTAACTGTTGTGTCCCTACCACTCTCCATATCAACTGGTACCAAGAATCATTTGTCAAGAGTGAAACAACTCTCATTGGTACAGAGAACATGACTCCATTGATGTCTTAGTGTTCGCTATAACATTGTAAACAATGCTGCCAATGGCCTACTGTCAATGGTATGCAGCATTCAGGATGGCGGGTGAATAGGCCACCTGTTGTCCTGTTACCATGCACAACTGCTGAGCAATGTTGTCCCCTGTCTGGTTTCGATTCCTTTTTACCTGCAGGTCAATATATTGGTTATCAGTCATTGTTTTGCTTGGCAGATCACTGTCAACCTTTCTTACAGATGTAGCTATCATTTGGAAGGCTTCCTAAGCTTTGTGAAATAACACATTTATCAATTCTAAACTTGGGTGACAAGATGTCAAACAACACCCTTCCTCAAGTTCGCCGATCATTTTAAAGGTGTCCTGATGTTTTTCAGTATAGCCATACTGCACATAAAATATCACTTGTGTCTTATTGTTACAATAATGGCTTGCAGGAGAATACCTAGAAATGCACCTCCCTTTCTTTTTGTTAAGTTACCTTGGACTGTATGTACTGATGCCTCATGCTTTAAATGCCTTGACATCATGGTGCTGATATTTGCATATGCATCACCTTTCTACTTACTTTTTCTCTGTACTGGTTGTAAAAACCTCTTTTCAACAATTTGATGGTTGCATGTTGAAAAATTAATTTGTTGCTTAAGTTTTGCACATTAGTATATAACATGAAGCGTGTGTGTGTGGACTGTGTGTAAACTGATACAGATGAATCTATGGATATCATGCTTTGGATGACATTGCATATATAAAGAGATACACATGACATACATAGAGCTGTTGTGACCCTGATAATGGCAAGTTTTTATGATCTAAGTGATTTTTAATATGATGCAATATTTGGAGTTCATCAGATGCATTATAAAACATCACAGGTAGGAATGAAGTTTCACATGGAATTATTTCTTCAAAAGTGTACGATAATTACAAAATTTTAGCAAAACTTTGAACTCATGCCATAAAAAGATTCTGGGTAAATCAGAGAAAATTATTCAATGTGAAATAAATACAACATTAAAAACTTAAGAATACAAGGCTAAAGCTTTGATGAACAGAGCAAGGACTGTGGAATCTTAAGAGCTGGCTCTCAGCCAGAGTACCCTTGATGAATGCATGACACACAGCTATGCAGCTTAACTGAGCTCAGCAACTCAGATACTGGATACTTGACTGTAAATATGTAGTTTTGTGTGACGAATTGTATTTCCAACTGTTCTAGTATGATAGAAGAATGTATGTGTGTGGAAAACCCCATGGTTCTATATTAGGCATCGGCAACCTAAAGCACACATGCCCGATTTGGCATGTGGTAAAATTCTCAGTTGTACTAGATACCCCTCTACAAAGTTATCACATAAAAATGTATCGCCCCCATCTCTTCTCTCTGCACTGACCCATCTCATGCCTCATACATTTTCTCTCCTTTAGTTTCATTCATTGCACCAATACATTAGTATTGAGTATGATTTTAGTAGAAAGTAAAATTCAGTTTGATGCATGCTGTGTGCTATGAATTACTTTTAACTTAATGACACATTCTTAGTTTTACTGTGAAGTGTTGTTATTACTTATGCTCACTTGCCTGATGTAGTCAGCACAAGCCCATGAAATTCCTTGTGGCAAGGAGTGCAAGATTACTCCTGTCGTTGGCAACAGCTTTGAGCACATTACAGGTGACAGTATGATTTAGCTCAATTCCACCCCCAATTTTGATGGAGAGAACCCCGGGTGGGGGACGGGTCCGAGGATCCCTCACCCTTTCCACCAAACCACACGAGGGGACTTTCGGCTCGCCGTATATTTAGAGTGCCACACCGACACTATACATTTATAAACATCCATGCCTTTTCTGGGATTCGAACACCTGGGCCTTTCGGTATGGCTGTCAGCAACGCTAACCGGTGTACCGGTTAGGCAGCTCGAAAACTTGTATTTCGTTAGTTTAATTATTGTGACAATTCATACCTACATATTTAATCAAATGGCCAACAAAAAAACACTTGATGTTTGTAGTTTTCAAGACTCTTGGACTAACGAATATGGATTCATACGACAAAAGAATCATGCTGTGTGTGTTATGTAGCAAACGTATCATATGCCGCACGTTAAGTATACAAAGACATTTTAAATTAAACATCAACCTACATTTCAAAATTCTAATGAGAAACTAAAAGTTATAAAACAAGTTGTTACTGGACATAAGAAATAAGTTAAATTTTTTGTCAAACAACTGGAACCAAACCTAAAGCTGTGAATGTAGTTTCATAATTGCTCATTGTGTAGCTGCCAGAGGCAAATCTTCCACAGATGGTGAATATATAAAGGACACATTTTAAAAAGTGTTGAAAATTCTTCAGCAACAAATCAAAAATCATTCAAATCGACAAACAATATTATCCCAAATTCAAGAAACATCAGCTTCTGCATGAATTACAGAAAGACGAATAACTCAAATGGCAAAAAATACAACAAAACAGAATTCTGAATTACAAGAAATTGTTGTATTTAGCATTGCTCTTGATGAAAGTACCACAATGAATGATGTTGCATGCCTTGTTTTGTTATTATGTTGTAACTTTATGTTGTTTTTATTTTAATAAATATCTTTAAAAAATACATAATACATAAACAATTCAATTTTTTTATGTTGATAGAATAGTTATATTTTATCTTAATAAATATCTTTTAATTATGCATAATAAATATGTAATAAAACTCTAAATATGTATTTCTTTACCTCTATTCCCGAATTCTGCATGCATTGCTATGGAAATCAAATTATTTCAAATATTTCATACCGTGCCGCATTCTGAATCATACTGGTAGATTGGTTTGGCACACTACAACTACAAGGTTGCCAACCCCTATTCTATATTCTTCTACATGAAATCAAAAGATAATACAAGCTATGGTATCTCCATAATGGTACAGGTTTGTTTAGCTGATCTTAATTATGATTTCTAATATATTTATGAATGTCTGCATCAATGAATATTATGTATATACCCTTTTTGAGGAGTTAAACTTATTCATTCTGATGGGTCTGGCTTTCTATGGACAGCTATTCAAGTCAATAGATGGCAGATTTTGGTTAGAACACTAATCTCAATTTAGAGATTTATCATGGCAATTTAAGTCTTCAGATTTCTACAGTATCAAACGATCTAGAATACCATGCAATGTGCTGTGAAATACAAGCATCCTGCACCTCAGAATAATAATGCAAAGTAATGGACCATTCAACAAGTACTAAGTTTTAGGCTGGTGTAGCAGCTCTTTATTTGGGGAGGGGGGCACGTAGCATGTGTGCATATGTGTACATATCAGTGTGAGTAATTAAAATTTTTTATGAGATATTAGAAATACAGTTCAGTTTTATGTCATACATCACCAAGATATTAAGTGTTTTAGTGATAACAGTATTGAATTATAATCATATACATAGCTGCTACACCATCTTTTGAATAAGCCATAAAAAGTATAGCAATAGAAAAAAAAAAAAAAAAAAAATTTTTTTTAAATTCATCCAATTTTGTTTGAGCTTCTCACAGGTGAAATTTCAAATTTAGGAATAAGTCAATAGTCAAATTATCCAATATATCAATTTCACACATTCATAACAGACCAGAAAAAAAACAGATTAACTTCATTCATCTACGTAAATTTATTTAAAACAGGTTTTACAATTAAGATGGGGAAAAAGTAATGCAAATGCACTTTTTTAAAATTTTGCTTTTAGTGCTGAATTAACTGATTAACTGAAATATTAGACACTTTCTTTAGAAAATTGTTTCATTCATAGAAAATTCAGTAAGAAAAATTTTCTGATTTTAGAAAAGAATTTCATTGAGAAGAATCATTTGAACAATTATTATAAAAAAGTAATAATTTTTTACCTCATCATATGTATACATAAGTTTAGAAGATTTCAGATTTTTCTTTGGAATATATTCCAAAGCATGGGGAAGACAATAAATGCAATCTTCTTGGGAATAAACAACCTAAAATAAAAAAAGTTTATTTTTTAAAATGAAATGTTTTATATCCAATTTCAACATTTGTGGTACTTTAAAAATTATATCTGTAATGTCAATTATTACTATAACTTTTCATCCTTGAAATTTCATTAATTGATTAATGAGCATACACTTTATCCATTAAAATTTCACTATACTAAAAGTAACACTGTGGTTTCTAAAAGCAATATTCATAAATTCTGAAGATGTGACTGAAATAAGAGAAACTGAAGTTCTCAAAAGAATGGATAAATTAGCAAATAAATAAAAGCATAAAATATAAAAGATTTAAATGAATTAAAAATCAATCAATCAGATAAATCTCTGACATTTTATATTTTATTATTCATAAAATTTTTTTCATAAAATATAAAATTTTATTATTCATATTTTATTATTCATAAAATATAAAAGATATAAATGAATTTATGTATGTTATGGAATTAAATAATAATTAAATTTATAAAATAAGCAACCAGACAATTTAAGATCAACTTCTTATCTTATAAATTAAAAAAAAGGTATAACTTAAAAAATATTTTTTATATATATTTAGCTCTTAATTTTTCAATCCTCTTTTTTTCCCTTCAAAGGGGAAATGTCTAATAATGAATACCTTTTTGTAAGACTGAACCAGTAATCTTAAATTACTCATAAAAACTAAATTTTATAAATCATATGAATATTAAAAAAAATTCTCATCAAATTTTATGCAAATAAATTTGGTACAAAATTCAAAAACTAAACAGTACAAATCAATTACTTCTTCACAATGAGCTAGTTAAATGTAATGTAAACTTTTGAAGACCAAATTTCAAGAGGTATCAAATGACAGCCATTTTGTTGTGCAGCACAATTTTCTTGGGAGAATTAATTTGGCATGATTTCTGTACCTACTTCCATTAAAAAAAAAGTACTTACTCTCTTAAAAGTCTTGAAACACATTAATACATTCTCATGGTTGCTAATCTTGAAATATGAAAAACTAGAAATACACGGAAGGTTAAGACTGCACAGAGATGCAGCCAGAGAAACCACTTCTGATGCCATTTCAAAAGAACTCAAATTTAACTTAAATTCATTTTATTATTCCGGTTATTAAACCATTTATAATATGATTCTGAGGAAAGTATATTAATATTTAATTAGACATTCTAAATTTCAAGCTCTTTGGCTAATTTCATTTATAGTTTTCTTACACTCCTACACTGAGAAAATCCTGAGTAGGGAAGAAAAGCTTTTGTTTATTACAGAACATTTAAATGTCATGAAGATAAAATTAATACTCTTGTGTAGATAAACTTAGTAATGTACCATTTATTGATGTAAAACAAAATTTAATCCAAATGTTAACCGATTAAACATTGGTTGAATCTTCATAAAAAATCTAAAAATGTACATAGTAGATAAAGATCTACTGTTACTACAACTGATTAACAACCACTTTAATTTTATTTTGCTAATTTTTGAAAGCTCCTAGAACATGCTACTATACCTCTGCTAAACATACACTTTTACGAGATCAAAAATTATTTCAAACAATTTTAGTTGCTTAAAAAAAAAATATGGAATGAATGTGAATAACATCTTCAACTACATAATGCTAATAATTAACAAATATACCATGTACTACAAATTCATTCTTACTTACCTTATAAGAGTAAGATCAGGTAATTTTTTTGAATAAATACAGAAAAAAAGCACAACTATATATATATATATTTAGAGGGGGGAGGAAGAAGAAAAAAAAAAGATATTTGAAGACAGAAAGACGGCAGGTGAGGATTCACAAACCACACAAAACTGAAAATTAAACAGATGAAATTTATTTCAACATGTTTCTAGCAAGTTCCCCCTTATGGCAAAAAGCCAATCATAAAAAACTTCAGAACATTTATTAAAAAAAAATTTTAAAAAGTTCTTCATACCATTTTTTATCTCACTTACATCTAAGATTCAAAATACTGTCAAAGATGAAATTCGTGTAATCTATTTCATGTAATTGTTTATATATAAAAAAAAAAAAAAAAAAAAAAAAAAAAAAAAAAAAAAACACTTTTAACGCCTGATAATTTCACCGTCATCACAACAATATTATGTTTGTTAAAAAAACTGCAATGAAATTTTCAAATCACAAAATCAAAATCTGTAAAGCCAAACAGGTCTTAAAACACCACTAATATAGATCTCATGATAAATTACAAAACTATTGTAATCTAAAAAATGTTTTCAATAAAAGTGCAGAATCTGTATAAAATAAATTTCAAATGTAAAACAGAATAATTTATTTTTATTTATTCATTTTTTAACATTTGGTAACTAAGAAAAATTATTCAGGTATTAGGAACTTAGCTATTCATTATTTAAGTTAAATAACGAATGGTAAACTTGATTTGTTAGCCCTTCTAAATTCGCCTGGAGAAGAAAGCAGGTAAATATCTCAACTCTACTCAAACAAATGAAACCAAGTCTTTGACATCACAGCATATGTTGGTGAAAATTATCAAAAAAAGATATGTAACACAATGATAAACTCTATTCATCTCAGACACAAGTTATATAATTAAAGACACATAAATCAATAAAAACTTTTTTACCATAGATACATAACAATGAGAGCGACATATTTCACATTCTTGTTCACTTTCATCCTCAATGCCTCTAGACTTCTTTTTCTTATCTTTCATTTCTAGTAGAGGTATTCTTTCACACTGTTTTAATCCTAAATCACTTAGCTGTGATCTAAGGCTCAGTTCTTTACTCCTGATATACATAGATAATAAAAGATTATTAAGCACATCTCATATGTATTTTGTGAATTAAATATAACTACATTTAACATACTATTTGAAACAAGGCATAGTTAAGCAACATGATTCTAGTTTGTGTTCTATTTCATAAGTTCATTTGATATGACAATTTAAAGTTATTGAAAATGCATATATGAATACATTTAAAATTTTTAATTTGATAATGCCATTTCACCTCTGCACTGTTTTCAAAGATAATAAAATCCTGAATGATTAACTCATGAGAAAGCAAAGTGCTCACATGGAAATTCTAAAATTTTCTTAGTAAATAACATAACAAGCAAAACATGAGCGTCTGTTAACCTTCCTTTTCTTGAACCTTCATTGGATTACATTTTGTTTTTCTATTGGGTATTTATCATCCTCACTGCATAACAAATTGCCAGTTTCCAGAAGTATTGTTATTCAGTGTAGCATATTTAATTTATCCTTGATATTAAAACTTTAAAAACAATGAGCATCTTTTTGTATAATTTACATCTGTTTCATTTTAATAATAATTAAGAGACAGAATTCTTCAAAGGGAATTCTGCAATTTGATTTAAAATTTATTAAGATCTGTAAAGAAGGCAATACAAGAACATGCCATATATACATAGGAATTTTAGTCTTTATTCAGCAGCAAGAGGTTTAAACAGGATGAGAACATTTTGACAGAGAGGAGTTAGGCTTCCCCCCTATCCAGCGTAATCTACAGGGCTCCAAAATTTTGCCATTAGGTAACTTCTGAACAGAAAAATTCTGTCGCCCATATTTCACAGAGTGGCTGGCTGGTCCTGGGTTTTAGACAATATACACTGACAGTGTTGAAAGAGAATTATTTCATTATCCTCCAGATTTAATGAATAATAATGTTCTGTTTAAATCTGATTTAACAATTTATTTTATTAATTTGATCCGAAGTGTACGAAATTGGCGAAAATTTATCTGATATTAAGAATAAAAGATGAAGAACAGTATTTTTAGTTGTATGCATAAAAAACTTGGATAATTTGGAAGTACACAATAAAGTTTTAGCATTTTTTAAAATATGATTAAAATTACGTAAAAATAAATTTGACAATAGCCCCATTTAATGAACATTTTCATGAAATAAATCACACTTTGGTTACTATTAATTGTTTGGAATTATATTTTTGCATCCTTAATTAACAAATTTAATAAATTAATAGCATGGGAAATAAAAAAAAATACTTCAATGAATGTTTCAAGTCTGTTATACACTCATGTACAAAATTAGGAGAATTTGCAAATTATGTCTATTTTTTACGGAAAGTTTCGAGATAAGGTTTATATTTGTTGCATGACAAACTATTTGGATCTTTAATTATAAGACAACATGTGCCAAATAATGTTCGAGGGAACATACATCTTTCCCTCGAAAATTATGCATTAGCCTTATTGTTCTTTCCCTCGAAAATTAGCCTTATTGCTCGCCATTAAAATTAAACATGTTATCATCTCTTATAAAAGTATTCTTGTTTTCAAAGTAAGTATTGTTAAGATAAAAAGTTTTTAAAGCATGTTGTTTCATTTTTGTTTAATTATTGAAATTATTAACCTAAAAGATATAACATGCCTTGTGTTACGAAAAATTTATTTTGTTCTTTCATTAGAAAAAAATTAATCTTAAGGATATATTTCTTGAGAAAAATTTCACTTCAGTCGAAATGAGTAACAAAAGTTATTTTTTTGGCCGAAAGTATAAAGTTTGCACATTTATCTTTCTAGTCAAAATTGTTTAGCTTGTTTGTCTTATAAAAGAATGATCCAAATATTCAATTACATCAGTGGCAAACAAATGGATGCATTATTATGCAACAATATAAAATGCATATTATTTCGATTATCACTAGAAAGCAAACATAACTTTCAAGTTATACCCAAAACTGAATTTTTTTGAATGAAAAGATAAATTCATAGTTCAAAATATATAATCAATATTCTAGTAAATATTGCTGCGTGCGCACGGGTTCACAATAGATTGAATGCACAAGTCCGATAATAGGTCAATAAAAATTTATTTTTATCGAAAGAAATATTTCAGATCCGCAGAAATATTATTATAAATAATTTTAATGGCAAGTATTCACAGTATCACACAGTATTATCAACAGTTACGCTTCAAACTACCAATAGAGTTAAACACAATGCAATGCAAAGCGCATCTAAAGAGAAAGCTAACTTGGATATCTCTGTTCATGCAGAACCAAACAACTCACAACAATAATAACTAAGCAACTGAGAGGAAATGCCCTTCCTTGAGGCTTTTATAGTTTTCAACCGACTGCAGAGGTACTTCATGCATTTCAAAATTATGGGAAAGCAATACGAGGGCGGAATTACGGTTACAGCTAACATAGTGGTTAATTACACTTATTCAGTTACAATACTTATTACGGTGGTACAAGGACCGGACAAAATGTCAGACTTTTGGTACTTTCTTGCCAAATTTGATGACAAAATAAGTGGCGAAAACCGTTATCAGCTTGGCGATATTTCGCCAAATTACCAGTTATCCATTTACTCAATGCTAAATGCATTTACCCTGTATTTTTACTTTTCTGGCATAGCTTTCTCTAAAATTTGTCTCATGCTACATTACACAGAAAAATACAATAATTTTACTTATAATTCTACAAAATTACCCATCTACGTAAAAAATTCGTAACAATATTTTTTAAATTAAACTTAATAATATAAATAACATCTAACCTGATTTCTTTAACCATAGGAAGTATCTTTTCCAAAGTTTCAGGCTGTGTTTTCGGATCATTCGCTATGCTAAACAACAATCTTTCAAGTGAGAATGCAGGTGGTTCATAGCTGTTTCTTATATCCTAAAATCCAAATAAATGGTAATGAATAAATAAACTGGGGGGAAAAAAAAGTGAGAGAGAGAAACATGATTCTCAGTTTTTTTTTTTTTCAATAATGAGAATAAAAAAATTTTTTGTTATTACTATCATTATATTATTACATGCATTTCTTTAGGAACATGTATCATTATTTTAGGCTTAACATTTGATTAAAATAGAATAGATCTTATATAAGACATATCTTCTGCCTTGTTTATAAAATTGTATTTAACCAATAAACATATTTTAAAAGTAGTAGTGAAAAAAGAACAGTTGTTCTTTTTCATTTTTCATGTAACTTTGGAAACAATTTTAAGAGACTAACAGGTTTCCTCAATAATTTTAGAACAATATTCCATAGTAAAAGCACAGTATGGGTAAACACTTAGAAGAAAAGGGCTAGCTCATAGAGCTTTTCCCTTGAAAAAAGAAGTGAGTAGTCATGCTGTCACTGAGCATGAAGATGCATTCCACAGTAAAAAAATTAGCGTTTTAAATTTGAACCAGCTTTAAAATGAACGGTGGAAAAAAAAAAATAGCTATAATTCAGAAGAAACGATGTTCAGTAAGCATTTATGACATTTAAAAAGTTAATAATACTTATTTATTAATTTAAAAATAATAGATAAACTATGCTTTTTTTCTAACAATGTTTTGCTTCCTTAAAAGTGGCAGTTTTCCCCCCTGTGCACTTATTATTTATATATATTGTAAGGATCTTAAGTTTTACTAACATTTATTTTATTTTAAATCTTTACTATCACTTCTTATTTTCTACTTCCGGCCAGAATTAAAAGCTTTAACTTATTTATGCAAATTGTCTTGCGAATACCAAGTACTTAAGTCGTGGCTTTTTGCCAAGCAAGAGAGAGGAAGGAGTGTTAGAAGCAGGCCGCTTGCCATTAGCAGTTTTACTCTCGGTTGCTGGTTGCTTTCAAGGCCAGAGGTTTAATCCTCTTGATAATTTTAAACGTATTGTAGTGTTAACAGTTCTCTGTACTACATACGGCCTTCCTGTTAATATAGGGGCCAATCTGCAGTAGACACTTGTTTATTAATCCAAAGTTAGTTTAGTTAGAATTTAGTTAATATTTTTATATTCTTACGTTCAGACCACAAGTGGTTGGTCTCTGTATTCCGAAGTCCGGAAATCATTGTAAAGAGAGAAAAATAAAGGGTTTCGTATACCCTTCCTGTGTATCTTGTCTACTTCCCACATTTATTGAACATAGCTTTAGTAAGCTCCCTGTTCCGAGTCAGGTCATTTAATGTTCCCAAAGCAAGTAAGGAGGAACATAGAACCTGATAGTGGCGCCCGACGAAGAAGAATAACCATGGCCGAGTTTCAAGAAGAACCTGTGCTGCCTGCAGAAGCGGGTCAGAATCCAGAAATGCCAGCTGCCGCCCGCCGCCCTGGAAGGATTTGGTTACATCGTCCAGACCATGCGCGCATCGATGAAACCAGAAGCAACATTTAATGGAAACTCACCGGTAACCAGTTTTTTGGAAAAATTGGATGACCACTTCATGCTGTATCCCGTGCATGAGTTCCAGAAAGTCACCTTAGCTACCAGCGCTTTGAGGGGCTAAGTGCTTAATTGGTTCAAATGTATAGGCAGAAGCCTCTTGGGTCAAGCGGGAAATCCCACCTATACTTACGAAAATTTCAAGACTGCCTTAGTAAAAGCTTTCCCTGTCGGAAGGGATCGTGCAAAATTAGAAACGGAACTTTTCAGCATATATCAGCAATGAATCGAAAATCTTTCCACCTTTATTTTAAGAAAAATTCATGTCTTCAAACTCTTGTATGGAAACCGTCCAGATCCTGAGATAATTCAAGTGATTTTGCCGAGGTTACTTCCCCAAGTACAAGACTTTATTGAATTAAGGAATCCGACTACACTGGAAAAGTTATTTGAGCTAGCAATCCAGTTTGAAAGTAGAAGAACGGCGGACATTGAAAGAAGACGCCAGTATGAACAACAACGAAACCAATTTGGTGCGCCAAGACCACAGCAAAGTCAAGAACACGGCTACGGAAGCAAAGCGAATCAGTGGGCAAGGAAACCCGAGTATCCAAAAACAAAAACCCGGCGAACGTCGACAGTTCAATAGCAATCCAGGAAAAAAGTCTGAAGGCCAGTGGAAAAAGAAGGAAAGCATGGAAAGGAAAAACAAGATTTAAACTAAAACGGATTTCTGCTGACGGGAGGGTGCGGAAATCCGAAGGCCAAGAAAACCCCCTCTTCCTTCAAGTTAAATACAGTAATGGTGAAAAATTTGACTCTTCCAAAGATTGAAGTGTTGGTGAATAATATCCCAGCCACCGCACTCCTGGATACAGGCGCGCAGTGTTCCTGTGTGGCAGAAGATTTTTTTAGGAAGTATTTTCGTAAATACCGCATATATAATTCGGATAATACGACAGTGTTAGCTGCGCAGGGAGAAAGATGCAAGTGCATAGGTAAATTACCGCTATATACGTTCGTATCAAGGACGAACAAGTAAAGATTATGTTTTTTATAGTAAAGAAATTTGCAAGCACATTTATCTTTAGGGATAGATTTTCTTTCAGAGGCAGAAGCAACGCTGGATTTTAATGAAGCGTCCCTTAAGCTGACGATGAAACCAGTTCGAGAAGAAAAAATAGAACCGCCCAATTAAATCTTGACCACCTGCCTAAGGAAGAGCAACAAAAAATTCGACCAAGTGGTAAGTGAATTTGCTTCGTTATTTAGTGATATTCCCAGGATTTACTCAAGTTACTAACCATAGTATCGACACCGGAGATTCACTGCCAGTTCGCCACAAACCATACCGATATGATAAGAATAAAGAAAAAATTATAGAGTGGCACATTCGAGATATGTTACGTAAAAAGATCATAACGCCCATCTCAAGTAGTTATGCTAGCCCGGTTGTGTTATGTAAGAAAAAATAATGACTATCCAGTAACACATCCGAAAAGGTGGCGTTTCGCAATTGACTATCGTAAATTAAACTCCATGACTAAATATCCGGTATATCCGTTACCTATTATTGAAGAAATTCTTAAGGAACATAACTTCTACCAAATATATGACTACGTTTTAGACTTAACGACTGGTTATTTTCAAATAGGGGTTAAACCTGAAGATGTGCCTAAGACTTCTTTAATAACCAAGTCTGGCACTTATGCATTCTTGCGTGTGCCGTTTGGCCTTTCAGGGGCACCAGCAACATTTCAGCGATCTATGGACATTGTGCTAAGGCCTGTTCTAGGAAAGACCATATTTATCTATTTAGACGATATCATTATTACTAGCGATAATCTGGACCAACATGTACAGGATTTAAGACAGGTGTTTTCATTATTAAATGTGTGTATTTAATTATGGCAAAGCACACTAGGGCTATCTGCCTAAGGGGAGGGATGCCTTTCGTGGAACTTTCTAAGTTCGAAAAGTGCAAAAACCTTGCAAACTAAAAAAGTGCAAATTTGCAGCCCCTGAATTAAAATACTTAGGTTACAAATATCTCAGAAAGGAATCGAGACAGACGAATCAAAAATAATCGCTGTGCAAAAGTATCCGCCGCCAAATACGGCGAAGAAGCTCTCTTCTTTTCTAGGACTTTGTTCATATTATAGGTCCTTTATAAAAGATTTTGCAGCTATTGCTGAACCATTGTTAAAATTAAAAAGGAAAAAGGCAAGATTCTCGTGGACGGCCGAAGCCAATAGTGCTTTCGAAAAATTAAAGCAAGCATTAACGCAAGCCCCTGTTTTGAAATTTCCTGAAAAGGATGAGAATTTAGAAATTTCAGCGGATGCTTCGGATTATGCGGTAGGAGCGGTACTTTCGCAAAATCAGCAGCCCGTGGCATTTTTTAGTCGAACTTTAAATCAAACACAAAGAAATTATTCCGCGACTGAGAGAGAGGCACTTGCAGTTCTGTTAGCAGTGCAAAAGTTCCGAGTCTATTTTGGAAGGGCGCCAATAACAGTGTATTCTGATCATGCGGCGGTAACTAGATTGTACTCAGGGAAAAACTTTATCCCCAAGGTTAATAAGATGGGCACTCAAGTTACAAGAGTATAATCTGGTAATCAAGCACACCCCCGGAAAGGAAAATATCGTAGCAGATGCCCTATCCAGAATAAAAATAGATGAAGAAGGTAATACTGTAAAGGTGGCAATGCTCACAGCATGTACGATAAACATTCCCGAGAAACTGTAATAACCGAACTGGGTAAGGATCCTGAATTTGGAAAACATTTATGAGTATTTAAAGGATCCTGAAAATTTTAGCCACCAAGATATTGTGGCGATAAGAAATAGGGCGGCCCATTACGAACTAATAGATGGTCTATTATTTTATACAAAAACTACGAATTCCAACAACGAATTTCGACCTGTTATCCCAGCTAGTCTTAGATTAAATATCCTGCAGGAGTTACATGACAGCCCTTTAGCTTCTCATGCTGGTATTCGAAAAACTATCCAACGCGTACGCGAAGGCAGTCTATTTTCCTGAACTGCAAAAGTTAACAAGGGCGTATGTCCAGTCCTGCCCAACATGTCAAGCAGTTAATTATATTAATTTCCGCCCGGCCGGGTTTCTAAATAGTATTAAATCCGAATTTCCAAATGAAATAATTGGCATCGATTTATTGGGCCCTTTCCCAAAAAGTCAGTTAAATAAAAGTCGGTATCTCCTTGTTATGGTTGATCATTTTAGTAAGTGGACCGAAATTGTTCCCTTAAAACGAGCCTCCGCGAAATTAGTTACTGATTCTATTTTAAATAAATATATTTTAAAATACGGGGCCCCTAAAAGTTATATCGGATAATGGTCCTCAATTTGTAAGTAATATATTTGAAGACATGTGCCAAAAACTGGGCATACGTCATTTAAAAATGGTCCCGTATCGGCCGCAATCAAATATAGCGGAACGGGTCAATAGAAATATATAGTGAAAATTATCCGTAGTTATGTTAAAA